GTGTGTGTGTGAGTGTGTTTCATTTTGGCTGTTTGGAATTATATTTTTTATTATAGAGAATTTTTTTTCTTATTTGGCCATTCTTTTTTCATATCAAACCAAAAACTGCAATCCAAATAACTCCTATTTTAAACTAAAAATTGAACTATACAGAATCAAATCAACTCAGATGACGAGAAAATAATATCGATTTAGCTGCCTATTCCAAGCTGGCCAACTCGACTCATCTTACAAATCAATTTGGAGTAAAGTAAAAATAAAATGTCTTCATATCCTAAATTTACCCCATAAGACACTTGTTGAATGATTTTTCTCTTATGAGTCTTCTACGAACTCATATTTTGGAATTTTCGTCCACATACTTGCATTTCCCTTTTTTATATCCCATAGATGGCAGTTAAAAGGGATTTAGAGAAAGACGTGTGATCCGGAATCATTAATCATAAGTGAAATGTCGTCAACTTAATAAATAGCACGGGTTTCGGAGTTACTTGATCGATTGAATGGCCGACTGTGGTGCCAGCCTCATGACTCACCGTTGGGTTACAGGTAACAATAAATGCGTTTGATGACTCATCATATGGTTAGGTGATGCTAACCAATTTTATAATTCAGTTTTTTCTCTCTACTTTTGCGGCTGTGCTATTTTATACTATGAATTTTCAGAAGTTATTTTTTTTTAAGTTATTTTTGAGAATTGTATAAATCGCTTTAAAAAAAAAATAAATTCATCCAAATAGATCTTACTTTTTGCCCTTCTCTATTTCAAAAAGAAATAGAAGTATACACACGTAACACCTAATTCTTATTCATTTTTGTATTCATACAAAAAGTTTTGTTTCTACAAACACTGCATCTTATTTATGTATGAAAATATGAATTATGATTAGTGTTATTGTTGATGTGATAGAAAAAAATTAAGTGTTATGTTTGTAAAATTGAAGTAGTTGGTGTGAAATTAGTAAATGCATAAGAATTGGAGGCTATTTATGTAAATTCGCGAAAAAACAGAAATTTAAAATATATTTGCCAAATGAAATCAACATATTTTCATGGGAGATTCAGATCGGTTTATTTCTGTCCGTATATATACTGAGAGGTCTAGGGAGTTAAGCAGAAGCTTCTTCAGTTAGAACTTTTAGGCGATGTCTAGGCGACAAAAATTGGGCTTAGTTATTTCTCGTCTTGTAAGGTCAAGCTTTGTGTTTGAATTTCTTTTCGCTGAAGGTTCTCTGTTTGTTAAGAAATTTTCTTTCTTGATCTCATATATCTTTGTTTAAGAAGAGATCGATCTTTGTTCCGGCTGTGTTTCAAAACTATTTCTATCTCCGTATCTTGCAGCTTTGATTTGTTTTGTTTCATGCCATCCGCTTACATTAATGAAATTATTTTCCATACTGAAGTAATCCGCTTCTTGATGTTCATGAGTTTTTTTACATCTTTCTCATTCATCCTTCCTGCTTGCAGCAGGTTCTATTTCTACTGTTCACTATGACTACTTTTGCTAATCTTACTCTCCTCTTCTTCTTGACATTTTATTACGCTAATTTGCCCTTTTTTTTGCTGCACCTGTTACTGCCCTTATAGATCCACCGTTTCCTTTTTCTTCTACTCTTGACTTGCCCCGTGAAATGATAAAAAGATTCCTTCTTTCTTTTTTCTTTTTTTCCGCAGTAGGATCATGCTTACTTTGTGGAAAAGTTCTAACTATTATTTGTCTACGTTGACTTGTTACCATTAATTTGTCAGTTATAATTGCTGTTATATGCCGATACTAAACCTTATTTAATTTGATACTTCTCTTTCATTTGCAGAATCTGAATCCAGATTTTGTGAGGTTTGAGATCTAAATTTTTTCAATCATTTTTCAAAAATGAAGAGATTGGCATCTAGGAAGTCTCACTCCTGGTGGTGGGACAGTCATATCAGTCCAAAAAATTCTAAATGGCTATCCGAAAACCTTGAACGTAAACATCTCTGCATTGATCCTTCATTTTATTTTTTATGCATGATTTTAATGAATCTAAACCATGTCGCGTTCTTAATTGTAGAGATGGATCGTTTAGTAAAGGAAATGCTGAAGCTGATTGAAGAAGAAGGGGATTCTTTTGCCAAAAAGGCTGAAATGTATTATAGAAGGCGTCCGGAGCTGATCTCTCATGTTGAGGAGTTCTATCGTATGTATCGAGCGCTTGCTGAGCGCTATAATATTTTAACTGGTGAACTGCGCAAGAATATTCCCTCTGATCTCCAATCTCAAGGTTCTGGCAATTCTTCTGACTTCGGTACAGAACCAGCTTCCCCTTCTTTTTCACGCTCTCCTGATCGAACTCCAGATCGCAAGCAGAATCTTCCCAAGCCATCAAAGAGAGCTGCAGGCTTTGATGTCTTCCTTGGCTCGACGACCAGCTCTGATTTTTCTAGGAAGGGATCTGATGATTCGTCTTCATCCTCTTCATCAGAATCTGGTTCCGACTCTGAGGATGGAAAGGTTGTTGATTCATTTGAGAACACGTCAGGGCTGAATGACCGTATAATTCATTTAGAAAATGAGCTTCGTGAAGCTACGGAGAAGCTTATGGAGTACGAGAAATGTTCTAACGGCCGTTGTGTTCATTTTGCTAGCATGGATGAACATCATGATCCAGAGGATAAAAGTGCAGCAGATGGTGTAGATGTAGAGGTCAAATCAGACGATAAAGCGGCAGTTTTAGAAACAGAGATATCGAACCGCGAAGATGAATTAAAGTCTCTCAAGGAAGCGATGGAGGATGCTGCTAAGCGATTCGAGGCTGAAATTTCACTGAAGGATCATATCATTGAGGAGCAGAAAACACAGCTTGATGCTGCAATGAACAAATTAAAGCAGGAAAAATTGAATTTTGAAGCTGAGCTCAAAAGCAAAATGGCTGACCTTAAAATGGAGGCGAAGAAATTATCAGAGAAAAAATCTACCCTTGAACTTAGAATTTCGGAGCAGGAGCAAATGATTAAGGAATTGAAGGTAATTTTGGCTGAATCTTCTGAAAGGTTTTCTCATGAGAAGTCTATATTGGAATCTGAAGTTTCCCGCTTGATGAACGAGGAGAACATCCTTGCATCCAAGCTTCCAGCTTTAGGTGTTGTAGAAGTAGAAGGTGAGCTGCATTCTGAATCAGAGGATAAAAGGGCGGTTTTAGAAGTCGAGATATCAAATCATAAAGCCGAGATAAAGTATCTCAAGGAAACAATGAAGGAATATGAGGCTGAAATTTCACTTAAAGATCATACCATTGAAGAATGCAAAATACAGCTTGATGCTGAAAGGAACAAGTTAAAGCAGGAAAAATGCACTCTTAAAGCTGAACTCAAAAGCTGTGTAGCTGATCTTAATTTAGAGGCTGAGAACCTTTCAGAGAAAAAATCAAGCCTTGAAATTAGAATTTTGGTGCTGGAGCAAACCATAAAAGAATTGAAGGTTATGTCAGCAAAAGCTTTTGAAAGGCTTCTTCATGAAAAAGCGATATTGGAATCTAAAGTTTGCATTTTGATGGACTCTGTGAACATCCATGCCTCTAAACTCAAAGCTTTGGAAGTAGAAGCTCAGCTCCGTTCTGAATCAGTGGATAGAGCGGCAGCTTTAGAAGCAGTGATATCAAATCATGAAGGTGAAATAAAAAGTCTGAAAGAAGCAATGGAGGCTGCTGCTAAGCGATTTGATGCTGAAATTTCACGTAAGGATCATACCATTGAGGAGTACAAAACAAAGCATGATGAAGCAATGAACAAATTCATGCAGGAAAGTTCTACTCTTGAAGCTGAGCTCAGAAGCTGTATAGCTGATCTTAAACTGGAGGTAAAACAACTTTCAGAGAAAAAATCCAGCCTTGAAATTATAATTTTAAAGCAGGAGCAAATGATGGAGGAATTGAAGGCCATGTCAAAAGAGTCTTCTGACAGGCTCCTTGATGAGAAGACGACACTGGAATCTAAGGTTTCCAGTCTACTGGACTTGGAGAATATCCATGCATCCAAGCTTCAAGCTCTGGAAGATCGTATAAGAGAGTTGGAAGTAGATAAGGCTGAAGCATGCAACACGAGTACAAATCACATTGATAAATTGAATCAAAGGCTGGATGAATCTAAGCTGAAAATTGACATGCTTACATCTGAGAAAGAGGAGCTCAATGCTAGAGTGAGCAAGCTCATGGATGATGCGAGATGCCGCGACGATAATTGTCAAAGTATGGCCGACCATCTGCATCAGTTGCATATTGAACATGTAAATCTGATAAAAGAAGTGGAAGAAGAAAGGAAAAACTCTGCACAGCTAATGAATAGAGTGTGCGAGCTTGAGCAGGACGTGGAAAGGCAAAGGGTCCTAATCTTAGAAAGAGGGAGGCTATAAGGCAGCTGTGCTTCTCTCTGGAGCATTATCGTGATGGGTATCTGAAGCTCAGGCAGATGCTGCAGGGAAACGCCAAGAGGCTTGCGGTTATGGCTACTTGATTTCCATTTCAATTTTATAGTCATTGTAAGATAAGGTATGTAAGCATCTGTGCTTTCTCATTGTAGAACTTTGCTGTTTCTTCTACCTTTTTAGTGTCATGCTGATTAAGCAGGAATTTTGCGCATTTGAGAGTTTAGAAGTATGTTACAACTGCTTCTCGATGCAGTTTCCATGCATTATTGGTGATTTAAATGTTCCCTGATAGCAATCCCGCTAGCGAGATGCATATTACTAGAGCAAATATTCATCTTTTTTGTGTGTTGAAAGATCTAAATATTAATAATTATATTTATATTTGTTACAACTCTATATTTAGAGGGTTACAAATTATATGAGGGATTTTGAAAATCTCTTTTTATTTCTCTCATTAAATTAGAGAGATTAGTTGCCTCTTATATTTTGTTATTATTCATTTCCTTTTATATTGTATTCTGTTTTTATTACTTTTCTTACCAATAAGTCCTGTAATGGGTATTTATACACATTTTTTCATCAATAAAATCAAGTCCTCTCATATCTTTTCATAGTATCAGTGACATACCAATTTTTTTCGGTATGACGACTTCTTCTTCCTCCCAAGAAATATCGAAATACCCCCCGCCTCACCTGCCATGTTCCAACCGGAATCGATGACACTTCCTCCTTCATCACTGGCCATAACTACCCACAGTGGTCCTAATCCGTCATGATGCTTATCTGCGGCAGAGGCAAGGACGACTATATCACCGGTGATGCTGTCGCTACGACCAAGGATGACCCAAAATCCGGACATGGAATGCAGAAAACCACATGGTCAGGCCGTGGTTAATCAATTCCATGACAAATGACATCGGCGAAAATTTTCTTCTCTACGACACGATCAAAAATATTTGTGTTGTTGCTCGAGAGACATACTCTCACTCAGATAACACATCCAGGCGGAGCCAATCCTCCACGATCTTCGCCAAGGTGATCAATCTGTGACTCAGTATTTTAATGTCTTCTCACGTTACTGGCAGCAGGTTGACATGTATGAAGTCCATGCCTGGTCATGCACTCCGGACTCCAACTTATACCGTCAGATCATCGAACAAAAAAGGATATTCAAATTCCTTCTTGGCCTCAACAACTCTCCCGATCATGTCCGCTCACTACTGAGCATTTGCGAGGCCTTCTCTGAGATTCGTCGAGAAGAAAGCCGCCAGAAAGTCATGCTTGGGCCTATCTCCAACTCGCCCAATCTCTCCGTTGACGCATCCGCCCTTGCAAATTGGGTTCCTCCGCCTCGACAGAGCGACAACTCATCACGTAAGGGCCGTCCCTGGTGAAACCACTGCCGACAACCAGACCATCATAAAACC